ATGTCAAAATATGCGATGTAAATGTAACATAAACGGCTGTATCTTTTGATCGCGTCGATTTAGAAGCTTGATTTTTTCACTGCTTCAAAAGCTTGCAGACCTGTGTATATGATATTAATTTCAACTTTATACCTTAACGCGTTCCTAAGAAAAAGGGTCTTGACAGACGAACGGACGGACAACGAAGTAATTCTATAAGGGTTCTCTGTTTTCCCCCTTAGAAGGTACGAAACCCTAAAAAAAGTTCTATCGATCCAGTCTATAAGACGCTACTTTTTAATGTCCGTCGAAGTTAGCTAGTATGGGCGCGGTCTGTATGTAGGTCTGTCCGTTATGTTCCACTGTAACTGAGCGTGAGCACCGCGAATGTTACGTGGAAATCGTTTTGTAATACGTTAGCGAATGGTTGCTGGAACATAATCGATTAATTGTCAATCAATAATAGAAGTAAATCTCCTAACAGGAAGATTTAATACCAACTAAAAGAAAATGCCAGCTTCAATCGACAAAACCAGTTCTAGTGATTATAAAATTGAGTTAACCAGAGGGAGACTTTGTACAAAAGTCGATTGCTTGGGTACCTCTGTCACATTCGTGTTTCTACCGTGAAGCAGTTGTGTTTGCGTGGCTGTGTTTCGGTTTGAAGGGTGGGATATGGCGTGAGTTTACTGGGTACAGAGGAATAACACTTGAGTCCTCAGGAATGGCAACGCATAAGGGGGGTATCATGGGCGAAACAGTATACTCTGTTATGTACATGGTACTGCTCATGTCTATAGGCGACTGTTACCACTTCCCATCAAATGTCTACGACACCAATATATCCTATCAAACTTTTGACTATTCTAAATTGTATAAAAAAAAATGGGTCATGAATGACAGAGTATCAAATATAAACATACAACAGTCTAATAAAATATAACACCGCTCCTTTTTTGAAGTCGGTAATTGTTTTTTTAAATTTTAATATGTCAATTTGTTAATCTACAATTGATGGGTCTATCTTCGGATGCACTGTGCAGACTGTGCGGGGAGAAATCGGAATCCATGGAACACTTAATGTGCAACTGCGATTCGTTGGCAAGCATGCGTATGAGTCTACTGGGAACGGCTTATCCGGAGCCAGGGGACTACAGGTATTTTAAACTGCGGGATATCGTTAGGGTAACACATAGGGTCTATGAAATTATGGTATAAGGCAGGGGGAAACATAAAAGATTCCAATGGGTCGACGTGCAACGGCTTAGCTGAGCCCATGTGCGAATATATCTACAGCTTGATTCTATTAGGGCGGAAAGGGATTATTAGCCTTGGAGTTTGACAGCCCCATTGCTAGCAATATGCCTTGTTAGGTCGACTTCCACGTGGTTCCCCCTGGAAACCATCGTGAACAATTCTTGTTGAATTCGTCACGATGGGCTAACTGACCTACATAATCTTCACCTAGCATCCTTCACTGGTGCCCTGCCGGTGTATACCAATAGCGCGGGTGGGGTTATCATTCTATTTTCACCCATTTAGAAATAAAAACTACGATTGCCAACCCGCCTGCTAAGCGTGGCAACTAACAAAATTAACCTTATGGGAAAGCAGCGGACAGTTGACGGTTGAAATATATTAATAATAGTAACAGAGCCAGCGTACAGAACTAGTCTTATCTCCGGCACCCAAACGTCTTACGTTCAGATTCGATCGCCACTTTCTCTCGATATCACGACAGTCGAGTCTGCTTTCGTTTTACAAGTACACTATCACTAACTAGTAAGCAGTTAGTAAACAAACTGTAAACTTGAATGCATGCGGTTTAATCACCATGTCAGCCTTTAACTGTCCACTGCTGAACATAAGCCTCCCCCTTGGGGGTTTTGCCAGTAGCTGCACGCTTGGCAGGCGGATTGGCAACCGCAGTTAGGCTTCAGAGATGTTTTAACCCTTTGAGTGCCGACGAGCGCCATCTCGCTCGTGCGCATTGCAACTAAAAGTGCCACGAGCGTCATAGCGCTCGTGAAATCAGTCGCTGTTTAGTTCGCTATAAAAAAAAAAAAAATTAGACAAATTAAAAACGTCTTCCTTCTTCAAGTTGGTTAAAACAGGTAAATAACAATAATATAATAATGTGTTTGTTTTTTTATGTTTGTCACCTCATAACTCCGTCAGTTGTAAACTGATTTGGAAAATTGTTTTTTTATCTGAAAGGATATACTTCCAGATTGAACCCACAGAAAATTTTATCAAAATCAATTCTGTAGTTTAGTTTTTAATTTAAAATAACTGGTTTTCCCACAATTGAAATCGATTTTTGTGGGAATTAACCTATATAACTTTATTCTACAGAAATATGCGACTACACCTACACAGGGGTTAAAAAAAATATAGAGAATTATAACAACGAAACTACACACTATATATATATATATATATATATATATATATATATATATATATATATATATATATATATATATAATCGTTTTTAAATCAAAATAACAAATTTTGTCATAATTAAAGTTTGTTTTTTTATTTATTTATTCATTAGTACATATATGTGTACATGGCGGACTTAATGCTAAAAGCATTCTCTCCCAGTCAACCGTAGGGAATTTATATAGGATATTTTTTATGAAAAATAATCTTATAGATCTACTAATGAGCTATTATTTTGTAATCTATGATCATAATACTTTGTACAAAAGTCGATTGCTTGGGTACCTCTGTCGCATTCGTGTTTCTACCGTGAAGCAGTTGTGTTTGCATGGCCGTGTTTCGGTTTGAAGGGTGGGGATATGGCGTGAATTTACTGGGTACAGAGGAATAACACCTGAGTCCACAGGAATGGCAACGCATGGGGGGTATCATAGGCGAAACAGTATACTCTGTTATATACACGGTACTGCTCATGTGTATAGGCGACGGTTACCACTTTCCATCAGGTGGGCCGTCAGCTTGTTTGCCATTCTAAGTTGTATAAAAAAAAAATTACAATGTAATAATTGCCTTTAGATGTTTCAAACCAGTTAAGACTTATGCCAACGACCTGTCCTTGAACGCGTGATTCGGTTCAAAGCACATTTTGGCATGGACAATTTCGTGGAACAGTTTAAGTTTTCTATTTTATTTTTTGTACAGACAAATTTAAGATGGATTTTTGTAAAAAAAAAGCGACTCAACAGCGACTAAATTAATCATCATCATCCATATCAGCGGTTAACTGTTCACTGCTGTACATAAGCCTCCCCCATGGAGGGGTTTTGCTAGTAGCTTAAATAATATTTAGGTAGTAGTAAGCTTTGGTGATATTTAAAGAGGTACGTTGCTCTCTCGGACATTAAGTTCCCTTAGTCGCCTCTTACGACACTCACGGAAAAGGAAGGGGGGGGGGGGTGATCACAGTGTAAAATCTCTTAATCGTCACATTTAAACAATCACCAGAGGGAGACTTTGTATAAAAGTCGATTGCTTGGGTACCTCTGTCCCATTCGTGTTTCTACCGTGAAGCAGTCGTGTTTGCATGGCTGTGTTTCGATTTAAAGGGGTGGGATATGGCGTGAATTTACTGGGTACAGAGGAATAACACCTGAGTCCTCAGGAATGGCAACGCATGGGAGGTATTATGGGCGAAACAGTATACTCTGTTATGTCCACGGTACTGCTCATGCCTATAGGCGACGGTTACCACTTTCCATCAGGTGGGCCGTCAGCTTGTTTGCTATTCTAAGTTGTATAAAAAAAATCGGGAATGGTATGTTACTACGAACGATTCAAGATCCTTTATTTTATGTACGTTACGTACTAGACATTCATATCGATATTTTGAAAGGGGGGGGGGGGGGATAAAAGGGATCGATAATAATAGGCATTCCCATTGATAGCAATAAACCCTTCGACCTCCTCACGGACTTTGTCATGATGGACTAACTTTTTTTTTAATGCAACTTAGAATGGCAAACAAGCTGACGGCCCACCTGATGGAAAGTGGTAACCGTCGCCTATAGACATGAGCAGTACCGTGCACATAACAGAGTATACTGACAGACTTCACCCTCACCTATCACCCCTCACTGGTGCCCCTCCAGCGTATACCGATAGCGCCGGCGGGGTTACCATTCTATTATCATACATTAAAAAAATCTACATTCGAGTCACGTTAGTACTTATGTATATTATGATTATGCGGTATCACTAAAATGACATGCGACTTTCTTGCACTGCGCTTGCGCAATGAATCGTACGCTTTTACCCAATTATATAAGCACTAATATGCATGTACGTGGTCGGTTTGCCTATTGGTAATGAGTAATGCAGTAGTTTTTTTTTTTAATATGTGATAACGGAATGGTAACCCCGCCCACGCTATCGGTATACACTGGCAAGGCACCAGTGCAGGATAATAGGTGAGGATTAAACAGGTCAGTTGGCCCATCGTGACGAATTCAACAAGAATTGTTCACGATGGTTTCCAGGATTAACCACGTGGAGGTCGACCTAATAGGGCATACTGCTAGCAATGGGGCTGTCAAACTCCATTGCTAACAATCCCTTTCCCCCCAGTAATGCAGTAGTGACATCCATAACACCACAGTGTAAAAAAACAATCGTAGACCAACTCATCTGGTATGTCCCGAATAATTACGTGAACAATGTTTCTTTGTTCGGGACAATCTGATTGCTCTGTTTGTTTAATTATTTATCTACACTTATATTAGAAAAAGGAAAGATTTGTATTTCTGTGTGTATGTATGTTTGTAATCAATAAACACAAAAACTACTTTTTAAAAAATTCTTCCACCATTAGAAAGCTACATTCACCCAGAATAACATAGGCTATATTTATTGCCAGAAAAGATTAGGGATCCTTACTGAAACTGTAGTAACGTAACTCAAGGTGTAAAAAAAATGCTATAAAATATCTTTGGTCGCGTGCGCTGCGGAAACTATTGGCGATAGAACAAAAGTATGTTCTACAATATTGAAGAAAATATCGATAACTACAAAGAACTCACCGTTAACAACTTGAAATAACATCGCGAAAAGCACCGCGCCAAGGCGGTACCTCGACCGCCATTTTGTCCCACCAGCGGCCATCTTGTAGTGTCAAAATTGACAATACACTGTTGTCCATTCGTGCGTTCACTTCACATATTTTTAAAACAGCACTTTTAAATTGATATGGGTTTTATAATAATTTGTCCCGTTGGATGATCACATTTTCTTTACTATTTTACCTGAAACAAAGAAATAGGTTTATTAGTTTTTTTTCTTTTTTTTTATATATATTTATGAGCTACAACTCTTTTTCAACAGTCTTTTACATATAAAGATAAGGTTTTCTTTTTTTATGGGATAGGATGGCAAACAAGTGGTCGACCCACCTCATGGCAAGTGGTAACCATCGCCTGTAAGGGGGAAAGGGGATTGTTCGTAATGGGGGTCTAAATGCCTGGTTGTTAGCAGAATAATAAGTTAATAGAATACAGCTGGAATTCAGCACGATGGTTTCTAGGGAGAAGTCCCAACCATTTGTATTACAGAGTATTCTATGACGTGCAAGGTGGTATTAATGTATACAGGCGATGGATTTTTTAATGGCTGATAATAAGAAATAAGAATAAGAATAATTTATTTGCTCGAAATGTGGTACAAAGGTCTTAAATGGTAACTGAGCTACACATTTCGCCTTATCTAAAGGCATGCAAATTTTGTCTTAGCACATGTTAAGTAAAAATTTATCCATTACGTATGTCCAAATAATTATTCTAAATACATATTAATTGTTACATTGAATTAGTTAATTATGTCAACATTTAAAAATAGTCGATATTATAGTGATAAAGCATTAAAATTGTACATGTCATATTATTAATATTATTACGTAAAGTGCATTCTTAGTCTAATCTGCCATTCAGACTTACAAATTCTTTTATCGTGTAAAAACACTTTTCAATAAGTCAATTGGTAATGGTATAATAATAATGGTAACTCCGCCTACGCTATCGGTATACGCTGGCGGGACACCAGTGAGAGGCGATGGGTGACGATGAAAGCAGGTCAGTTAGCCCATCATGACAAAATCCACAAAATTTAACCACGAGGGTTTCCAGTGGGTACCGCGTGGAGGTCGACCTAATAGGGTGCACTGCTAGCAATGGGGCCATTACACCTCATTGCTAACAATTTCTTCCCCCCCCCCCACCCCTACCCCGATTGAACAGTTAAACCAATCACTATGAAATTTGAAATATACGAATAGCTACTGTATGGGATGATGGAGAAAATAGGTTACTTTGTATCCTGGTTAGTGAATATATCCTATTCACGTGGAAGAAGTCGCGAGCAAAAGCTAGTTAGGATAGATAGATAGATACTCTTTATTGTTTCCTCCAAAAGATTACAATAGTAAACTTATTATAAATATAAACAATTACAATTTCCGAACCGATACGACAACATAACCTTCAAGAAAAGAGCATATTCCCATTTAAAAGGCCGGCAGCACACCTGCAATGCCGCTGGTGTTGTGGGTGACCATGGGCGGCAGTAGTCACTTACCATCAGGTGAGCCGCATGCCCGATTGCCCCCTGTGTTGTAAAAAAAAAAAACAATAAATTATATTCGTAAGCATAGAGCAAAAGGAAACCTATAGGAAGGATTATGTTTGAGTCACTCTCACTTTCTGTCCCCAATTACACCGGCGCGACTCGATGCAATGTTTGCTCAGACAGTCACACAAATTTAGGCCAATTTACATTGTCGTGACCTTGTCGATTTTAAAAATAATTAGTGTAGTACAAAAAAAAAACAACTACAACTTTTTTTACAACAGGATACAGCAAACGATTATGCGGTTCACCTGATAGTAAGTGACTACCGCCGCCCATGATCACCCACAACACCAACGGCATTGCAGGTCTGCTGCCGACCTTTTAAAAAGGAATATGCTCTTTTCTTGAACGTTATGATGTCGTATCGGTTCGGAAATACTGCTGCTGGAACTTAATTCTAAAGAGTGAAAGACCGTCACTCGTCCAGATGGTCACAATTGTGACAAAACCAATTATTTTGATGTAAAAACTAAACTACTAAATTAATGTTGATAAAACTTCTATATCACCAATCTGTAAGTACATCCTTTCAGATAAAAAAAAAAAAGAAATTTCCAAAACTCTTTAGAACTGACGGTGTTATGAGATAATATATATATATATAACATATAATATATATACATAAAATATAAAGAGAAAATATATATATATATATAACCGAATTAAGAGACTCCTAAACTTATATAAATATTATTTTTCATTTAGTAGCGCAAATCAACAAATACGTACATACAATGGTCAAACACACTGGCCGGAATACCAACGCTTGTATAGCGGAACACGATGTGGTCAAGCGCTGCGCCGGCGCAGCTAGAATACTTAATAAACACCTCGGCACTGGCGTATCGGTACACTGGATGCGTTTTCCACCGACCTCGAAATAACATTGTGTTCCACAAAAAAAAAGGCTTCAGTCGTGGCAAAACCAGTTTATTTATAATTATTTAAATTAAACAACTAAATCGATTTTGATAATATTTATGTGTGTAATCAAAGATAAAAAGATATTTTTTTATTTTTATTTTTTCATTAATACATGTCAGTGTACATGGCGGACTTGATGCTAGAAGCATTCTCTCCCAGTCAACCGTAGAGAAGTGTCAGAATACTCGAATGCGGTACTAGTAATTATTGATATATATACATACTAAAATTACATATATACAAACGAATAAATATATATAAATAACAAATATACTTACACATATATGACATATACTATATTATACACGAAATTGAGAATAATATAAAGCACTTACTGTTCGGATAAAGTATAAAAGTGACCATAAACGTTTCGTTTTTTATTTAACTTCTTTAAAAAAGAATTTTTCAAATCGGTTTATACATACCTCGTCCGTATAGAATGCCATATGGCATTAAGCTCTCCACTTGTACAAAGTTTTATTGGGCAATAAAGAATAAATAATATCGCGTCAAAGAGCCATACACCTTTCCCGTGGGTGTCGTAAGAGGCGACTAAGGGAAGGCAAGGTATGGGCAGCAGGGTCCGTTTTAAAATATCTCTAAAAGCCTAACTGCGGTTGCCAACCCGCTTGCCAAGCGTGGCAACGACTGGCAAGACTACCCCTTATAGGCTTATGTTCAGCAGTGGACAGTTAACGGCAGAAGTATTGATAAAAATGGATTAATATTGAAGTAAGTGTCGACTTTTGGGAGACAGGCGTGACAGATACGTAAGTATGTTTACCAGAGGGAGACTTTGTACAAAAGTCGTTTGCTTGGCCACCTCTGTCCCATTCGTGTTTCTACCGTGACGCAGTTGTGTTTGCATGGCTGTGTTTCGGTTTGAAGGGTGGGATATGGCGTGAATTTACAGGGTACAGAGGAATAACATCCGAGTCCTCGGGAATGGCAACGCATGGGGGGTATTATGGACGAAACAGTATACTCTGTTATGTCCACGGTACTGCTCATGTCTATAGGCGACGGTTACCACTTTCTATCAGGTGGGCCGTCAGCTTGTTTGCCATTCTAACTTAGAAAAAAATGTAACGACCTTTTCCCCGCCATCAGTGTCCAGAGCAACCCAACATATAGATATCGGAACGGTACTTGCACTAACCATGCCTAACATCCAAACAGTGGGGGGAAAGGGATTGTTAGTAATGGAGACTGAGAATCCCATTGCTAGCAATATACCCAACCAGGTCGACCTCCTCGCGGTTCTCCCTGGAAACTATCACGGTTAATTCCTGATGAATTCATCATGATGGGCTAACTGCCTGTTTTCATTCTCACCTATCACCCTTCACTGGTGCTCCGCCAGCGTATCCCGTTAGCGCATGCGGGGTCACCATACCATTTTCACCCATCAAAAAAAAAACATTCAAACAGTTGTATATAACGTTTCCAACCACAACAGTACAATTATGAATACCATATTTTTTTGTACCGTTAATTATACAACAGTACTCACGCACCATACACACATACACGGTCCAATGGCTCGGTGGTCTGTTGTATTTAATTACATTGTTACAAATTTATCTATCTACATTACTATTAAATATTTATTTTAAACCACCGAGGTGGCAAACAAGCATACGGCCCACCTGATGGTAAGCGGTTACCGTAGCCTATGTACGCCTGCAATACCAGGGGCATTACACGTGTTGCTGATCCTGAAGAAACATCTTTATCCCTTTTTTGAAGAACTCCATGCCTGTAGTCTCTTGGGAAAAACCTTATATATTTAGAACTAACAAAATTTTTCATCGTGCCTCCCACCAAACTGTTTATAATTACTCCTCTCCATCCGAAGGTTGCCTGGAAGAGATCGCTCTTAGCGATAAGGTCGCCCATTGTTTTCTCATTGTGATTATTTCTTGTAATTGTTTATATTTATAATAAGTTTACTATTGTAATCTTATGGAGGAAACAATAAAGAGTATCTATCTATCTATCTATATATCCTTTTAGATAATTTCTTTTTTCTAATCGATTTAAAAGTAACGAAGTTATGAGGTGACAAACTTGTAAACAAATAACTGACTCGACCATAAGCCAGTCCGATGATGTCCAACAGTAGTACAGGTGGTCTATCATGAAATGAAATTCCGAATTTTCGCGCTCAATTTCGTGTTTTTGTTCGTACCGAAATCGACCCAGTAAATGGAGCTTAACATTTCGTTCATCATAAATCCTATCATATAATAGTCCAGAGGAACGATATTTTAACATTTTTAATAACTTCAAATGACATGTATTATGTAATTTTAACATCAAATTTCTGTTTCGTTCGTCCCCGAAATTTCGGAAAATATTTCATGGCGGGCCCTCGGATCAAGCATCGACCAATCGATTGCACGTTTTGATTTGTCACTGATTACATTTAGAGAGTGTGAAAGATGCGTTGGATAACAGAAATAAAAATAGAAAACACTGATAAATAGATGTATTATACTTTTCTAGTAAGTATATGTAATATTCTAATGACATTCCCTATTAATATAAAAAAAATATTGGCAATAGACACGGGCTGTATGGACAGAGTCCTTTGCTTTCCCTATTGGCATGAAGCAAAGATTTGTAATTACTTGTTCTAAGGGTTAAACGAAACTAAAAAAAAATATAAATTGACAGAAAAGTGTTTTTTTTTTGC